AAATACTGCATTGCTAAAAAAAAAAAAAAAAAAAAAAGAAAGAAAATTACAGGTCAATTTCTTTGCTTTTTAGTGTCAATACCCTCAAGGTGTATAGTCCGAGTCTGACCTTTACATCATAAAAGTGCTCTGAAAATCCAAATGGCTTGATGATAATTTTTCTTAACCTCCCTGTGAACCAGAAGTCACTAAAGCTAGAAGATGCTGGGCTATTTGAACCAAGAATTTCATTCAATATTACAGACACAATGACAATCTGATAGAGATTATAGCTCTATCAAATAAATTGCTGACAATTTAGAAAACTTCCTTTGGAAGATATGGACTATCTTTCCATTTTCTAAAAATTATCATTATCATTATTCTGATATCTACCAGACCTATATGGATTGAAGACAGTATTTTTAATGACAAGCCATGTTCTCAGGCTGCATCACAGGGAATGCTGCAAATATAAAACACCCCTCAAAAATGAGTAACATATGAAATTGCATCTTTAAAAAACAAAATAACTGTCATGTCACAGTTGAATGTAAAATCAGACATGACATCTTCCTCTGGTCAAGTGAACAAGCTGTGGTACATACTGGATTGCATCTCCTTTTAAGTACAGCTTACTGCCTGTGGTTCATATGCTTGCTCCTCTTCACCACTGCCGATGTCCTTGAGCCAAGGAGCCAGTTTATCATTCATCAAAGGAAGCCTTTTTCATTGACTGTATTTACTTTCCCCAAGTTATTTCCCGTGCATCCCAGAACAAGGCTGGTAAAATCTCCATTTGTAATTTTACACATTGGTCCCAACATGAGACATGTCTGTTATGAAACTTCCAAGGTTACAACTATTACTGACACAATATTTTGACTCATTAAAGCAGGTGGAAATATGAATAATTCCATCAAAGTTAACGGAAAGACTTCCATTCATAAGCATATGCAGGGGAAGGGTGAATGTACAATAAGTCAGACCAAAGCAAAACTGACTTCTGAACATACTTTCAATACCCGAGACCATACTCATAGCTGAGAGAATACTGGAGTGCTCTCAAAAATGCACTGACATTTATCTAGAATGTGCCTGGTTTTTAAGCTGGTTGGTCACTTAAGTAAGTGTGTAACTCATCTTTGATTCAGCCATTACAAGAGCATAGTTTTCAAACTTCATTTTGAAGATGAAGGTTTTTACCTGGTCACTGTGAAAATCATTGAAATTTAATGCTGCAAAACCAGTGTTTACCGAGCCAAAAGACAAAACAGATACATTTCCCTTAACTGGTTTCTTTTTTTAAAGCTCCATATTGTAAAGGTTGTAATAGACTCTGCGAGTGTGCATGAAACTAAATTAATCTAAAAAAAGTTGACACAAGCTGAAAAAAAGTAGAATATATCCTGTTAGAAAATCTGAAAGAATTTGCAAAGATTTGATTCTGTGAGGATAAACGCTTAGCAGTTGCTTTGGAGGACTGAATCAGTATGGGTTTTTTTTCTAGTCTTCCAGTGGCACATAGTTACCATTAACTATGTCAATAGACAGGGCTAAAAAAATAATCTGATTATATTGTTCATTGCTGGAAAATTAACTTTCCAGAAACAAAAATGGCAGGAGAGAAGCAGTCTTGTATTTCAGCTTCTCTTTGCTCATTTGAACTCGTGCTGTTGCTGTGTGCACTATCATCTGTTTACTACCATAGCTGTGTTTATGCAAGAATATGCAGATTATCAATACATTTATATTTTCATCAGACTTTTTAATTTATTACCAAACTCAGTCAGAAAAACTAAACCAAATGAAAACCTAAACATCTGTAAGTATTGCATACACAAAACAGCTGAGGATACTGGAACATAAAGTTCCATGCTGGCTCCTTGGTACAACAGGGAACAATGCCCGGTGAAATCACTTCCCTGACATTGTACCATGTAAGATATATTTCCATCATAACATTTTTGGTACATGGCTGTAAAGATTAGCGCTCTCATTTTTCATAGCTCAGAAACGGAATAAAAGACGAATAATTCTGTACATCAGTTGCCCCTTCCTCTCAGCAGACGGTTAATTGAAAAGGAAATCCGAGAAGCCTGTTTTTACCTTTCGACACAAAGTACATTCAATTAAAAATGGCAAATAGGGGAGGGGAATGGCAAAAATCACACAGACATCAACCTTTTAAAGGAAAAACTGACTGTGAACACACCGGTGATGAAACACAAATATGGAGGCAGGATTTGTGCTCAATAAGAGAAAGCGAACAGAGTCCCTGTTAAGCAAATACACCTTACAGATTAGTATCACTCCAGACTGAGACAACTTCATGTCATACACTAGTTAAAATACAGCAGTTTATGGATAGATTTATTATCGTACTTCAGAGACAATTCAGGCCCTTCCAGGGATTCACAAAAGCTGGTTCCTTTAGAATGTAACATGTTTGACTGAAATAAACATACTCATGACTGCAAACAGGTAACTTTGAGCTATAACATGTGCTGGATGAAGAAAAAAAATATACTGCATTTGACAATTATTATCAAGCATTTTAGTAAGTTTGGCCAGGGTATAACATCCTTGCAAGGGTATTAGGAAACATATGCACCTGTAACAATGCACAGAGATGTAAATTTAAGAGTTAAATTCTCCACTCAGTCAGAATTATCAGAAGATATACCATATTATGAATTCTCTATCATATTATGGCTGTGAAACAAGTTCCTTTAACATAAAAAAAGATGGGTCTAGCTGGAAGGAACTGGATTCTTATCTCATTTGCGCTTATGTAACTCCAACTGGAGTCAGTTCTACACCAGGGGAATAGACGACAATCAGACTCAGCGCACAATAATTAAAGTACAAAGTGCAGAAATAGTTACCATGCAGCATTTAAATGCATTTTCACATCTTCAGCTCATAATACGTAATACAGTCTCAGGACATTTTGTTTGCTTCCATTGCTGCTAACAATGTTTTCAGTAACATGACCCTCCAGGAATGGGAGATAATGAAAAGTCTAAACACAAGCCTACTGGCTTGTAGCTAATGTTACATGTACCAGCTTTCAAGTATGTAAAGAATTCTTTTGTTAAAGTGAAACCATAAAGCACAGCTTTCTTGCAGTCATGTCCAAATGTTAAAAAAATGAAAATAAATCAGTAGGACCTACCCTGGCATAGTCAGATCCATGCTTCTCCTTCACTCCATTTCTACAGAGTGTGTAGTTGTAAAATCGAGAATTTTTAAGTAATCCAACCCATTCTTTCCAGCCAGGAGGTACATAGGAGCCATTGTATTCATTAAGGTACTTTCCAAAGAAAGCTAGGGGTAGAGAAACCAGAAGCATAGTAAGAAGGCGTAACAGAAACACCTCAAAGACACCATATTTAACCATATTCTTTCCCTTCTGTTTCTCCTGAGAGGAGCTTTGTTTTCTTCAGTCTGATACATTTAAGATGAGATAAATTGTGAATTATAGGTTTGCCCATGTTTCATTATTTCAGAGCTCCATAATGTAGATCTTTTGATTTACAACCTGACAACATATGAAACTGGACCAATTACCATTATTTTTTCTTTAGTGCCTGATACATTCAGAGTCAGATGAACAAAACAGAGAATGCTTAAAATAGTGCCAGTTGCCACATTATCTCATCCTACTCTGAATCACCCAGTTTAGCTACATTTTTCATTTTGGTTACACCCATTTAAGCCATTTCCACCTAAGGAACTGGCAGAAGCAATGAGGTCACTAATAGGAGGCTGGCTTGGGAGAAATAATGACAAATGATGACCATAAATATGATGAGATTTTAAACTTGCTGCACAGGAGAAACGAAGCAGAAGCCTGTTTGGCAGAACAAGTGCAGAATGAATACAAGCATTCTTACTGAACACAGGGCAGGCATTTGAGCCATTCTCCCAGAAGATCTATGTATATGCTAGCCTTGCTCTGTAAGCCACAAGTATACAGACACAAACTATTTTCCAGAAAGTGGTTAAGGAAATTGAAAAGCATCAGATTTCTATGAGAAGAACAAAAATTCTCTGAAGGACACGATGTACCCACTGATGCTTTCACACTATTCCAGTAAAAAAATAAATAATTCAAATGAACATATTTTTCAGTATTAGTTTGTATGTTTTATCAGCACTGTGCAATTATAGGATACTGGAAGACTCCATTCAGCTATACAGTTTTTTAAAAGCTTAAAAGCAAAATTCTGCCCTTGGGTGTGCAGACTGCACTGCGATTCAGCATCTGAATTTTCGTGATCAGAGCTCAGATCTCAATTTTTGAATGGTCTGGCAATACAAGTTAAGATTACCATAGTTACTAGCACAGAGATCTTTACACTTGTTCCAATTGCCATTACAAATATTTTTAATCCAGAGGCACATAGTGTCTGCAGCATCTCATGCTGGCCATCTATCAGTGAACATCTGTGCTTCTGCAAAGACAACAGAATATCTAAGATTCTGTTGTTATGATTTAGATTAAACCCCACCTCATAATCTATGTGATTTGAGCACAGAATTTACAGTTCCTAGGTTCTTAAAAGAATTTTTGTGTGACTGATTTTAAGTGACTGACGCTACAGAAAAGAATTGGTTTCACTGTCCTTAACTACCTCATGACATCTTTAACCAAGCAAACTAGCAGCAAAATCTACCCCACTGTAGATGAAAACTACCACATTACTCAGGGACTGCATTTATAGAGTATATATAGTTTTTCAAATGGTTTTGCTTTACGAACAACTTCTAATTTTTAAAGAATGAAAGGCAACTCAGAGCAGTTAAGGGTAATAACGCAATACAGATGCATCTGTTTTCTTGTCAGAGTAACAATGAACACAGGATTCAAACACCGACCAAGGTCTACAGTAGCAGGCATGCACAAGGCAGTCCAAAGCCTTTTGTCCCCCATTCAGCAGATTATATCCAAACAGAGATATATTTGGCATTTCTGCTCACGGGAACCAATCCATTCCTAAAACCTTTGGCTGAGCCAGCTGAAGAATTCAGGAAAGAGGTATTCTGTAAAGAATTACTTCATTGTTATTCTGCAGAGGCACTGAAGGAAAGCCTAGCGGAAGTTCCTTCCCACACCTTTTGCATACCCTCCATTGTACATTCAGGATGTCTTTATAATATTTCATGGATGTCAAAGTGCTTTAAATAATTTTCTCTGCTGCTTCCAATCTTCCATTTCACATCTTTTTCTTTTCTTCCTCCTTCTCAGCTGTTTAAAGGCTTGTTATTAAAAAAATTTTAGACGTCACTCCTCTGCAGTATAAAATATTGGGTTACAATAAAGCTCTCTTGATGCTGGTGAAAGATTTTGATTTTGAATTGTAAAGATTCTCTCTAACACAATTTTTCCCCTCATCAGATTAGTTCACCACCAGAGACAGCTGCTCACTAGAGTACACACGCCTTCGGTACATCCAATTTCAAACTGCTCCAAGATTTCATTAATAAACATTCACAGAGGCTGCTGTTTGATATGCTCATCCGTGTTCCTATACCCACTCTATGAAACAATCATTAAAAAACATTCAAGTGATTGCTTTTAATAAGTGCATTAAGAATGTGATTTTCCTTTGCTTTAAATACTATACAATGTAGTTTCTCCTAAGACTACATAAAACAGGATATGCAAGAATTGAGTCCCTTGTACACCGTAACTACTTCCACAGAGGTTCATATCCTTCTAAGGTTCTTTTCTCAGTCTTGGGCCCTTCAATGATAAGCACCTGGAAAATTCTTTGGATAGAGTGGAATTTTTAGAAGAGGTTTTGTTCTTTAAACTCTTCCTGTTAAGGAAAAAAATTGCACACAAGAGAATTTTCCCTGTGCTATCAGTTAATACAAAGGTCTGCTCTGAATGGAACTCAACTACAGATACATCAAGGCCACAGCTCACTGTTTAAAAAGTAGCTCTAGCATATTGTCAAATGTAGTGTAAAAGCACAATTAAAAGAATGGTCATCAAGGCATCATTTACCACCATTGGATACGTTCAAGCTAGGTCTGTTATCTATATAAATGTACCAAACTCTACATGTTTGTTGGGTTTTTTTTTCCCCTTTCTTAAAAAACTATTTCTAATACCTACCTAAATATAATTAACGGAAATTCATCTACAAAGGATAGTCACAAAATGTCACATTAAATTGAAAACAAAGATAATTCAGGATGCATCAATAAAACAATGCAGGGGATCTTTCATCCCTTTTTATTCCATACATACTGTCCAACACTGGGAGCTGGATATAACAGACCTTCTTCAGTTCTCAAACTAGATACAGGAATGCAGTGTAACTCAACAGTGTAAAACTGCTAGATCAGATTTAGATACAGAATTTCAGTCTTCCATTTAGTTTCTTTGATTCGGCAGCTCTGATTCTGACCATAGTTAGTCATCTGTTTAGACACAGTTTTGATAACTTCTGGCCAAGATCATTTATCTATTCCTCTAATAACCTGTTTAACAGTATGATCATAGTGTTTATGTCAATTTTAAATAAAGTCAGAAGGAAATCAAGAAAGGAATGTATGAGAGGAGCACTGGTGGTAACTCCCTGACATTGGTAGGTTACATTCTGTTGAGAAGCAGTGAAAGATAAAGCTCTTGCTATACATCAAGTCAAGTCAGGCTATACACTAGAAAGAGATACCCCATGCATGCAGCAACCTTAGCCTGGCTTCAGGGGGACCGGATAACCTTTCACCTGCACGGAGAACATAGGAAGACAAAGCCAGGCTCTTCATGGCAGTACATGGTGGGAGGACAAGAAAGAACCAGAACAGACTGAAACAAGTAAGGTTCAGCCTGGTTGTAAAGAAAAGCTTTTCACAAGGAGAAGAGTCAAAGAGTGAAACAGGCTGCTCAGAAACACGGTGTGACCCCAATCCTTGGTGTTTTCCAAGGTGAGACTGGATAAAGCCCTCAGCAACATGGCCTGGGGCAGGCTTTGAGCAGGTGATGGAAAAGAGACCACCTGACGTTCCTTCCAACCTGCATTAGTCTGTGATCCTGTGACGGACTAGATGACTTATGAGGCCCATCTTCAGTTAAATATACATGATTCCAGGATTTTAGAAGTTAGGAATATATTTGTAAATATTTATGCTCTCATAATACATCCTGAAGCTGAGAAAAAACAGAATTCAGCTTTTTGTTACTCCTGGACAGCAAGCTCAGTATTTACACCACACATCTGTCGTCCTGGAGTCTTCTCTTCACGCTACTTTGCTGTATCCACCCATTAGCACTCCATTAAACTGCACTTAGCACCATCACTATGAAGTTAAACTCAAGTTTTAAGCTGTTAAACCTCTACACTTAAACATGAATGTTGTACATTAAATACTTTGAAGATGTATTTAAAGCACTGGTTTTCTGACATTTCAGAAGTCAGCTTTCCAGGTATTAAGTTTTGAGCTGTGAGTGGTAGTTACTCATAGGAATTTGTTTACCCCTTTAAAATATTTTACCTCTATATCTCAAACCAGTTTTCCCCAGCTCAGAGTTGAACAATTAGCTACATTTGAGAAATCCCTTAGTTTTGGACTGGGGGAAGGGATGGCATTTCTGGTCTTATTTCTGCCCTATATCTAGCAAAAATTACCTTCTGTACTTTTTGTCCTCTAAGAGACAATCAGAGGAAAGGAGATGAGAAAGCACTCTCAGCATGGCTAAGTAGGCATGTAACAAGCAGTAAGCCCAAAGGTCAAGTCAGCTTTGCATTCACATCATGGCCAAATACGCTCTTAAACTGACAATGTGCAATGGAATAAACCTAGTGAATTAATGGATTTACAGCAGGGGGTGGGGGTGTGTGTCTTAGATAAAGTCCTGTAATTTAGTATTAGATTTGCTTCCATGGAAAAGATTTTTCAAGAGACATCAGTTCTCATTAGGTATCAAAATAACAGATGAGATTTTCTAAAAATCGTAACTCCTGAGTGCTGAAGTCAGCTGAACAGAACAGTCCCAGTTGGGACCTTTAGTAACAACAGGAGCTATGACACGACTGCGAAGATCAGAAGATAGAGCACTGTACTATAATACCTCAGTAACTGCAGTAAATCTAATGTGTTGCATTAAACATACTGTAAGGTCCTAAATGTTAGAGTATTTTTAAGGAAGAAAAGAGGGGTTTAAGACCACATTTTGTTCTAAGATCCCTTTAGTTCCATCAGTTTCAGGATGCTAAGGAAGACTGGGCTCCAAGTACTTTTTTGCTATTTCTTTTCTTTTTTCATGTCTGCAATGGTCCTTGAAATGATGAATTCATTGAAGTACTTAACCA